TGTATGATGCCCATATGATCATTATGCAATACACTTAAGGTTTGAGGTGCTAGTTTTCTTTGGAATATCAACTCTACTGCAATCTAAAATGCAGCCTTGCCCCACTGTAAGTTTATGTTTCTTGATGGTAAAGGGATGTAAATAAATCGTCCTTACCTTTGCCAGACCAGAAAGACTCGATAATATACCTTGTAAGTTGAGTAAGTAAATTATCACGAGTTGTCTCTCTTCGTATAGAGTTTTTGAACTTATAGGTGGGTAATTAGTAAAAAAAATTCTGTATGATGGAGATCGTCTATGTCGGCTATTTCGGGAGAAGTGACCAGTAATGGAAGTCTTGATAGGCAAACTGCATTACAATGCTTTTAAGTTGACTTGTAATGTATAAAAATCCAGGCCAGACTGAAAACCTGAGTATCCTTGAAGCACTCTTTGAGGGGATAACTTTGCTTGGAGAGAAAATTATTTGAATAAGGTTTATGGTGTGTAGTCAAAATAAATTTATTGTCGCAGGAGTAGGAGACCTCCCAAGTAATAGCTAGTGACTTCTTATCTATTTGAGAATAGTTCCTTTCAGCTTTTTTTTTTAAAGATGTTGAAACGTAAGCAATTGGTATCTTTTTACCGTCTACATAAAGTGTGATAAGACGGCACCAATGTCATGGACTGGCATCACAATGCTCCAGTGACGTATGCACTGGCATCAATGTCATATGAACTGGCATCACAAGGGACCAGTGCCATATGGACTGTCTTCACAGGTACCAATATCATAAGAAATGGCATCACAAGACACCAATGATGTATGTACTGGCCAAATGGAATGGGATCACAAGCACCAACGTCATATGAAGTGGCATCGAAAGGCATTAATGCCATATTGACTTTCATCACAAGCGAGTCGTAAGAGATGTTTAGGATCATAACACGAGTACTTTGCCTGATGCCATGATTTTTTTGGCCCCAAAAAAATCAATTTCATGCTAACTTGAACACGTCCATTTAAAATTATTTTGTAGAAATGCATTTAAAGGATGATATACTGCAGCCAGTGTGTTTAAAAACTTTTGGAGGTAACTTAACATGATCTCAACTGAGGAACATTTTCTGGTCTTTGCGCTTTCCGGATTGCTCCCAAAGTTTAGTAGACAGTTTTTATTGAGCGTGTTCGCGCATAATCTGATTGATGTCCTCATGGAAAAAATAGCTTTTTTTAATATTACTCCTTAAAACAAATTTTTTCCAATCGGTCTAAGACATCGTTTATGTTTTTTAGACGATGATGATGATGATGATGTCTGAGTACTTTCATAGCGCTTGTGTCCATGCTATTTTAGCAAGCTCACAGCGTGCTGATGTCCTAAAATATCTTTAAAGAAAAGGCTTTTTAAATTGTTCTTAAATGAATTTTTATCATTTTTAATGTCCCTCATTGAAGAAAACTGTTCCATAACTTAGGCGCAACGGCCTCAAAAGAGCACATTCCGTATGACTTGTTTTTGTGTCCCTCCACTTTGGGAACTCTCAGTACGGACAGCGTTAAAGAGCGCAGGTTCTGTATGGATAGAATTTTTAGAAATCAGTTTTTTTAAGATATACAGGTGCAGAGCTTTCAATACAGTTGTACGCCAGGGACAGAGTTTTGTGATCAATGAGATCAGTCACAGGAAGCCAGTGCAGATCTTTAATAACTGGATTGATACGGTCAGATTACTTTGTACGCTAGACAGTGCGTGCTGGAGTATTTTCTACATTCTGGAGTCACTGAATTTTGTTTTCAGGTAAACCACACAAATTGTTACTGTAATCTAATCTTCATTGGATTAGAGTTACTGATACGGCATTGGCTGTTCTCATATTGAGTTGATGATGAAGATAACTCAGAGTGCGAAGGTACCATCTTGGTAGCATTGTACTTTATTGGATCCTACTAGGACTATGTCCATTATTCTTTGAAAAATATCAGAGCTTGAATACTCTTTCCACACAAGTGATGAGGTTAAAATATATTTTGAGAATTTTCCTTATAATTGTCTGCAGTCCAACTTGGTGGTATTAAATTTCCCCAATATTATCTTCTTGGTTTAAAGTCTTATCTAAATCAGTTCTTCACAACATACGGCCCGCTAGCACCCACTTTGCGGCCCGCGAAACAACGAACTATTCTTTTTATTATTATTACTTTCTTAATAGCTTTCCCGCTGTCCAATTTTCTTTCGGCCCTCAATAGTTTTTCATAAAGTGTTACGACCAACCTTACACTTTGAGTTATGCAGGCCTGATCTAAATAGATGATGTCTTCTTCTGCTCGTTCCTTGGATAAAGCTACTTCGCCTGCTTTGTCCCATGTTCGGTTTCTATTCAGTAGTAATCTTGTATGAACGTTGTTCCCATGTGAACCAACACAAATCATCTCTTAAGGCTTCTTCTGAGTGCTCTACAAAATTAAAATGTCTGAAAGACCTTATTTTTTAAATCTCAGCTATGTATTGGTTGTTGTTCTCCCATTTTCCTTGAGATTTCATTTGAAATTTGAAGCCTTCAACTATTTCTAGGGCGCCGGGCCACTGCTAGTCGGTTAGCAGTTGGATGATGTCCGCTTTATGATTTAGTTAGCTGACAGTATTGGAGCTGTCCGAGTTCTAATTAAGTTCTAGGTTCTTGGCTTTTTTTTTGGTCCAATGGCCGCTAGTAAAATGGCTGTTTCCTTCGGTTCACTTTCAATGCCATTTGCAATGAACCATTCTATACCTTTTTTTTTTTTTTTTTGTAATTAGTGAGCGATTTTTCTTTTTCTTCAAATTTTTTTTTTTTTGGTTTCATTTTCCTTTTTTTTTTTGGTCCAATGGCCGCTTGTAATATGGCTTTTTTCTTCTGTTCACTTTTAATGCCATTTGCAATGAACCATTCTTTTCCTTTTTTTTTTTTTTTGTAATTAGTGAGCGATTCTTCTATTTCGTCAAATTCTTTGTTATTTGGTATCATATTCCTTACAAATCGAAACAAATTTAAAGAGATTTTGAATATTCAATTATACGTATTATTTACTTGTTACTGTGTGGCCATAAACGAATTTAAGTTGACTCATTAGGTCAACATTAGCAAAAGTTGTAATAGTACTGATTATGTAGAGTATTATGCCGGTGGTTTGTAAGGCTATCGTGTAGTGTAAGTAACAATATTTGGTCAGTTATGATTTTTCAAAGTAAAATTAAGCAGCCATCTTTATTTATCTTTTTTTTTTAAAATAATTATCTACCCAACAAAATAGTAAAAGTTATACATATCAGAAAAGTTATTAAGATTTTATTGTCTGAGCTTGTTTGGTTTGTATTTGGAATATTTGTTAGACTTGAGTTGAGGGTGAGCAGTATTTGTTGGTCATGAGTTAGAAGTGAGCAGTATTTGTTGGTCATGAGTTGAGAGTGAGCAGTATTTGTTGGTCATGAGTTAAAAGTGAGCAGTATTTGTTGGACATGAGTTGAGAGTGAGCAGTATTTGCTGGACATGAGTTGAGAGTGAGAAGTATTTGTTGGACATGAGTTAGAAGTGAGCAGTATTTGTTGGACATGAGTTGAGAGTGAGCAGTATTTGTTGGACATGAGTTGAGAGTGAGCAGTTTTTGTTGGACATGAGTTGAGAGTGAGCAGTATTTGTTGGTCATGAGTTAGAAGTGAGCAGTATTTGTTGGACATGAGTTGAGAGTGAGCAGTATTTGTTGGACATGAGTTGAGAGTGAGCAGAATTTGTTGGACATGAGTTGAGAGTGAGCAGTATTTGTTGGACATGAGTTGAGGGTGAGCAGTATTTGTTGGTCATGAGTTAGAAGTGAGCAGTATTTTTTGGACATGAGTTGAGAGTGAGCAGTATTTTTTGGTCATGAGTTAGAAGTGAGCAGTATTTTTTGGACATGAGTTGAGAGTGAGCAGTATTTGTTGGTCATGAGTTAGAAGTGAGCAGTATTTTTGGACATGAGTTGAGAGTGAGCAGTATTTGTTGGTCATGAGTTAGAAGTGAGCAGTATTTTTTGGACATGAGTTGAGAGTGAGCAGTATTTGTTGGTCATGAGTTAGAAGTGAGCAGTATTTTTTGGACATGAGTTGAGAGTGAGCAGTATTTGTTGGTCATGAGTTAGAAGTGAGCAGTATTTTTTGGACATGAGTTGAGAGTGAGCAGTATTTGTTGGTCATGAGTTAGAAGTGAGCAGTATTTTTGGACATGAGTTGAGAGTGAGCAGTATTTGTTGGTCATGAGTTAGAAGTGAGCAGTATTTTTTGGACATGAGTTGAGAGTGAGCAGTATTTGTTGGTCATGAGTTAGAAGTAAATAGTATCTGTCGGTTGAAAAGGATGCTTGAGTTTGTATACGTGGGAAGCACTAGGATATTTGTGTGCGTGGTTTTAATGGTACTGAAGATAGCTTTTAGTCGTAAGGGCGCTGGTCGTCGGGGCGCTGGTTGTCAGGGCGCTTGTTGTCAGGGCGCTGTTCCTCAGAGTGCTGGTTCAAACTGCGCTGGTCCTGAGTGCGCTGGTCGTTAGGGCGCTGGTCCTCAGGGCGCTGTTCCTCAGAGTGCTGGTTCAAACCTCGCTGGTCCTGATGGCGCTGGTCGTCAGGGCGTTGGGCCTCATTGCGTATGTCACCAGGAGTTTGTCGTCAGAGGATTTAAGAACCATAGAGATATTGTTAGTCTTTCTTTTGACTTTATCAAATATGATTTTATTTTGTTAAGTTCCTCAGTGAAAAAGATAATTATTATTGTATATTGTATCTGCTTTTCGTGCTAATGTGTGGCTAGCATGGGGCAGAAATCTTCTAGACTGGCCGGCAGTAGACCTACCGACCAAGGTAGTTTGCAACAACATACAGCAACTTGAACATAAATTAAAAGCCCACACACACACATATACATAATTGATCAGATTAATTTATTCTTGAAATGAAAATGCCTTCAAACCGAAACAGAAGCAGAAGATATAGGAATAGAACAACATATTTGTTGGTGGAGAACCTCGGAATGTACAACGGGAATGTTGTATTGCTCTTAGGTCTCTGGAAATTTTTGTATTTAATAGGATCCTGAAATAAATAAAGGTGTTAAACTGATTAATCGTAATTTAAATGCAGGATCATCACAAAACATAATAAGTATTCAACTTAATACTAATATTTTGTCATTAATCATGTGTTAAATAAAAAGCAGAATTACGCATGAAGCTAAAAAACGTAAATAATTTTTAAAAAATAATGGTTTCATATAAATAAATTATATTTATTATAAAATGCTTAACATGGATTTATTTAGTTTCTTGAACCAAAGCATAACCATGATGTATAAACACCATAGCTTTTAAGCAACCTGATATATAAGCACTATGACATATAAACACCATGATACTTAAGCACCAAGAAGCAATCTTTCACTTATTTAATTTTATAAATATCAGGTAAATATCACAAGTAATAATACTCTAGCTATGTAAGTATGTATGGTTGTAAAACTGTGTCCCTTGGGCGTGCAAAATAAAATTCTTAGACGTAATCATTACAAATTGCGTTACTTAAAATCAGTTTGTGTCAAATAACGTATAGGGGGGGGGGGGGGGGAAGTTCACGTTGCTGTCGCCAATGTTCGGCGGGCTATCTATTTATTTTATAAACGTGTTGGCAATAACTTAAGCATGTTTGAAGATCAACTTTCGGTAGCACGGAACACTAAAGTAACATTCCTTTTTGTTTCTCTTTAAACAGATAATCTGCAATATTAAATAGTTTTAACAGTTCTGTTAAGTATTAATAGGTAGATAATCGCACACGGTCAACACTTACCAGATTTGTAGTTGTTGTTGTTGTTGTTGTTGTTGTAGTTGTTGTTAGCCTGGTAAGCGTTATTTCTGCCGTAAGATGATCCTCTTCCGGAGCCGTACCTACTGCCGTATGACCTTGAGGAGTAGCTGCTGCCGTATGGTGCAGAGTTAGCGTAGTTGGATCCGTAGTTGTTGTTGTAGTTGTTGTAACCGCTGTTGTAGCCAGATGGGTTGAAGTAAAGACCATCGATGTATTGGTCATTGTTGTTGTTGGCGTAACGGGCATTGCTGTAAGCACCATTGTTGTAGTTGGAGTTGCCGTACTGGTTGTTGTTGTATTGGTTGTTGTCGTCGTATTGGTTGTTGCTGTATTGGTTTTTGCCATTGTATTGGTTGTTGTTGTTGTACTGGTTGTTGTCGTACTGGTTGTTACCGTATTGGTTGTTGTCGTATTGATTGTTGTTGTTGTACTGGTTGTTGTCGTACTGGTTGTTACCGTACTGGTTGTTGTCGTATTGGTTGTTGTCGTATCGGTTGTTGTTGTTGTACTGGTTGTTACCGTACTGGTTGTTACCGTATTGGTTGTTGTCGTATTGGTTGTTGTTGTATTGATTTTTGTTGTCGTACTGGTTGTTGTATTGGTTTTTGTTGTCGTAGCTGGTCACGGCGTACTGGTCAGCGGCGTTGTAAGAAGATTTATCATCTCCTTTGTAGGTGGCAGTGTTGTAGGCGTCACCCTTTGTCGCCTTAGCATCGTACTGGCTGCTAGAATAATCAGCACAGGTGGCGATGGCCAAGATGGCGAAACCGAGGACGACCTGGAGTGGAGACATTGTGACTTTGGGTAGCGTTCTGTTTCTGAAAAAAAGTGTTTTAAATAGCTTGCGTGTAAATAAATTCCTTATCGAATAGGGGTTATAAAAATTGTTTAATCTGCTGGTAATTGTTTTACGCGCGTAACTTTTGAATGAAATTTTAAAATCATCCGATTGCATGAGAGGTTCTATAGTAGGATAAAAATTTGTCTTTGAAATTAAAGAAGAAACCAAATGTAAAGGCTTTGCAAGGAGTTCGAGCTTTCTAAAAATGTAATTAACGTAGTGAACTTACCGGTGATGAAAGTTTGGAGAGCGAACACAAGTGATTTCAGCAGAGCGCAGCACACCTTATAAAGGAAAGTAGCTTAATCCGAGGTTTAAAGGCTTAGAGATAACGAGCTTAAGAATTCATCATTCATCGTTTTTGGTTATCGCTGTCATCGGCAAATGATCAATTTATGCAGTTTTGGTCTGGTGAGTGTGTGAGAACTTACAGATTCCCATGGTTCTATTCCATTTATAAAATACATTTTAAAAAGTCTAAAAATTTACTTTTTGTTCCTATTTATGTCAAAATAACTGAAAAAAAAACAAGGGAAATTAGCATAACAGTTATTCCAATCCTTACTTCAACAGATCAAGGGTAAAAAAAAAAAAAAGGAAAAACTTCCTTTTCAAAAATGTTGAAATCGGGTTTTGATTTGTGATCAACCCCTTTGTTTGCCCAAAATATTGTGTCCACATTTTTTCCGCACTGATATTTAAATAGTGTGTAACTTTGTTAATTTTTTGTTTTTTTTGTTTGTTTGTTTTTGTTTGGTAATATTTTTCAATTTTCTTCTATTTGTGAACGTTTGGGAATGAATGATTATAAAATGTTGTATAACTTAGATGAAAATCTGAAAAATTTTCATTAAACAAAAATAACAAAAAAAAAAAAAAGCAAACAAAACAGAGCAAAAACATAAACCCAAACAATTTAGAAGGATTACTTTAGAGTAATAATTTGATGTGCAGTCAAAAATATGTTCTTATTTTTTAAAACTCTTTCATACTACATCAGCGCAGTGAAACTATGTTTGTATTAACGCGAGTTTCTTTAAAACAAAAATGTGGACGCAAAAAAAATTGTACATGGTCGTACTTGTACATGGCACAATTTCACCCGGTTAAGATTTAGTCAATTTAAGCCACTGCCAAGCTTTGTTTTGTGCACGCATTTGAAATTAAGCTTATTTTTAGACCAGTGCGCTGTTAACAAAAAAATATTAAGAAAACTTTTTTTAACGAAAAGGTTATTGTATATGATCATATTCTTTAAATATACGGAAATATGGGTCTTAGCATTTTAAGAAACTACAGATCATTGCGAAATATGAGGGCTTTTAAATAGTATATTAGAATTATCACATTATTCAAGACGTGCACAAAGAGCGCTTATTAAGTATATTGCAGTTTACCTTCTTTGGGGCTCATTTATTGATTTGTTTTACAAACTTTATTGAGTAGATGTATTGTGGTGAAAGGTACCTTCGCACATTTTGAATTAGCCTCAATCATCGTTTAGGTAGACTAGGCCACGGAATGGGTGGTTCAATTTTTTTTTTTTTAGTCTAGCAATGTCTCAGAGGCACAGTTTGTTGTACACAGAAAATTTCATTACATAGTTTGAAACCCATGCACAGTAACATCGCAAACCCCTCTGAAACATAGGAGCCAGAATGATCAATTCATTGATCGTGGGCCCTCAAAATAAAGAAGAAGAAGACTTCCCTTGTCTATATCAAATTGTGTTCATGTTCTCCATTCATAATAATCGTCTTAAACGCCAAACACAATACGTCGCTGTCATAATTTTATTACTGGCATCAGATAATGACACGATAGTGTTACTGACATCAGATAATGACACGATGGTGTTACTGACATCAGATAATGACATGATAGTGCTAGTGACATCAGATAAAGACACGGTAATGTTACTGACATCAGATAATGACATGGTAATGTTACTGACATCAGATGACATTTAGTGTTACTGACGTCAGATAATGACACGTTAATGTTACTGACATCAGATACTGAAACGCTTGAGTTACTTACCTCAGATAATAACATGCTATTTTTACTGACATCATATAAAGCCACGAAAATGTTGCTGACATCAGATATGCCACGGTAGTGTTACTGACATTAGTATACGGTAATGTTACTGACAACAGCTAATAACAGGGTAATGTTACTGACGTCAGATAATGCCACGCTATTGTTAATTACATTAGAAAAGGACACGATAATGTTAGAGACATCAGATGACACAGTAGTTTAACTGACATCAGATAATGACATGGTAGTGTTACTGACATAAAATGACACAGACACACACACATATATATATATATATATATATATATATATATATATATATATATATCAGCAGAGTTAGAAAACTAGTTATTTATGTGAATTGATGGATGTAGATCAAACTTAAATGACTTATCTTTATCTTTATATCCTTATCAAAACGCATTGAAATCTAAACTGATTATAAAAATTTTGAAACGCTGGACTTCTACTTAATATTAACTTTGCTTTTGTGTTTTTAAGGCAAAATCCTCGGACGGCTAATTGACCCACTTAACTTTAACTTATCGAGCTCAATCTTGGCACACAGACTCGTTGCCGATTGCAGCACACTCTTTTTAAATTCTCAACACCATCCTCTGACTCCAACCCCAAAAACCAGTTTTACCAACCCCAAAAAACCAGTTGTTCGTGTGTTTCAATGACAAATGTAGGAAATGTTATGGTACTGATTTCACGAAATATAATTCCCTATAACATTCCTTACAACTGCGCTAAATAAGATTCTTTTTTTTTTAATATAGAAAGTGCATTTCTTTTGTTGTTTTTTTTCTGAAATAGTGTGTGAATTAAATCTGCACTATAAAAGAGGGTTGGAGAATAGAAAAATAATATAGTTCACGGGCATGAAAAAAAAAATGTACTGTTGCGAGACTAGATTGGGGTGAAAAAAAAAGGGGGGGGGGGCACTAATTGGGATTGTTATTAAGTGCGTTACTTGAAAGCATGTTTTGTTAAAATTTAACTCCACTTCCCATTGCTTTATATTACATTTTGAATGTTAAAAAGAATTTTTTTCTTCTTCTTCTATATCTTAAGGGTCCACGATCAATTTATTGATCATTTTGGCTCCTATGCATGTAGATGGGATTTGCAATGTTTCTGTTACTGGTGGTGATGAGGAAATCATGCACAAGGGGTTTGAATTTTTATAACAAACACAAAAAAATGTGTTTTTAGGGGTTGGTTACTTTAACCTATTTTAATGGGACAACGTCTAAATTTTCATGTTATTATTTATCTGATGATTTTTTCATTGAGACTATATCTAAGGGATTTAAAATATTTACTGGGCCCTTATTATAAATGGAAAATATATAAAATAACAGATTTTGTTTAAGATGTTATTAGAAGTAGTAATTAAAAAGAATAGTCCCTTTGACTGCTCATTTGAAGGCTTTAAGTCGTTGTTGTAGAATGTTAAAAGAAAGCAGGGCCGGGGCTAGGAGGTACGGGGTCCAGGGCAAATTGAATTTTGCGGGGCCGTTGACGTTATATATTCCGCCGATAGGATATTGAGACACGTTGTAATCCCTGATAATCCCCTTTCGTCTGCTTAACATGTGCATAACGTCTTCCCGTGATTCATCTCGAAGGGACAGTATTGAAGCCAGACTGACCTTCAGACCATTTGACTATCTAATAACTCCGAATATTGTGTTGACTGGATTAGGAACTATTAGTAGGCTTAGGTATATTATAAATATACTACGGCAAGGCGCTCGGCCCCGAAGCGAGGGGTCCCGCAAACGCGGGCCTTAGGTGGTCGCCCTCTTCGCCATTCCCTAGCGCCGGCCCTGAAAGAAAGTTCTGTCTTTTCAATATTGATAAAGATTATAAAAATTTCAAAAGATTCTAAATTTTTTATTTATTTTATATACTCTATGCTCTCCTGGAAATTTTCACTTTATCTTTCCCTGGCGTCGCCTAAGACCTTCAGAAAACACATATAATGTACAGTTATGAAATAGCAAGAAAAATAATTTTGTTGTTGGGGGTCGCCACAATATGAGAAACTGTATTAATACCACTTTTGTAAAATATTAAAGTGCCCTTATGAACTCCGGGAAACCAGAAGCAACATTTAAAAGGAAACCTCTTTTGCAAATGCCGTCCGATATAAATGCTTTCATTTTGTATAATTAACTTGAATATTTATCTGAATAATTATTTTTTAATAACTAAAAGTGTCCGTTTTTTGGAATGGGTTCCTGCCACAGGAACCTTTTACAAAGTTTAATGGGTAAATGGCTATAGCTTTCGATTTAGTGAATATCTATTGTTAATTCTTTATTTTTCTAAATGAATCAACTTTAAAAAGTAGGATTAGTTTTTATAGCATGTTTTTTTTTTTGTTGTTTTTTTTTACTGAGACCAGCTTGAATGTTAACTGAAACAAGATGAGCAACAAATGCATTTTTTACACGAGCTATTATAAATCTTTTTGGCTTCAGGGGAAAATATATATTTGTACTCCCTCCCTCGACTCTGAAGCCCATTATTTTGAACCATTATATACCAACAAATTCCATTTTTTGCGCCCCTGCAAGTCTTGCGCCCGGGGAAATCTGTCTCATCTGGCACGCCTTAGCGACCCCGGTGTCCACTGACACTGCCCGCTCCCTCGAAAAATCTGCAATACTACCCCCCCCCTTTTCCGTGGACATTTTTTCTAAATGAAACGCTGTGTATGCCAGGGTAAAATTTGGTTTCGATCTTTTTTTCTTCTTTTTTTTTTAAAAATTAACACTGATAAATATATACATATATAAATAGTCACATAACCCTTTTTATACTTAACTTGCTTTAAACTAATTCAGATTAAATTAATGAATATCTCTCAAGAGTGCTCACTGTTTTGTTTTTTTTAAACAGAAGATGACAATCATCAGAAGTTGCAGATCAAACGGTTCGTAAAATAATCCATGCACCTTAGCACCAACAACGTCACAGGAGCTTTCGGAAAATCACTATATCAGAGCAGGGCTATGAAAATGGGGATCGGTGAAGGGGCACCCTCTCCGGGCACAGTCATCAGAGGGAGTCAAAATCATCATCTTTCCATGCAAATATTTGTGTATAAATATAAAATATAACCCTTTCTGGAAAAGGGCGCCAAAATTCAGGCTTTTCCCCCCGGGCGTGCCTTGTACTCATATCTGACAGATGTCATAAAGCCTTTTAGAATTCATATAATAATAACTATCCCATGTTGAAAATACGCTTCCCGCTGGTTTAGAAGTAGCTCGTAATATATAACCAGCGTTATCTATTTCTTCCGCGATTTCCCCTGCATCAATATTTCTAACGGTAATAAGAGGAAGGTAGCCAAGGCGCCGTCCATAAAGTACGTCACGCTCCAGGTGTGTGGGGGGGGGGTGTAAGAAAGTGTGACAGTTTGTGACAGGAGGAAGGGGGGTCAGGTCATGTGTGATATCACACATTTATTTTTTTCAATTTTATTTCTAATCTATTTTATTTTTTATAGTAGAATTTAATAGCTTTAAAAATAGTTTTCAAAAATTTTGTGAAACATTTGAATTAGTTTTATGTGAAAATAGCATGAAATGCGCATCTCCTGAATGTGTTGTTCACGATTCCTCTCGCTATGAGCGCTAGTATACTACTGCCAAGCCTTGTTTTATGTCTAGCCTTGCTTTCGTCATGCCTGAAGTATTATTATTTCTATGTTGTCCGCTGCATAATTATGTCACTGTCCTTTTTATTATTAATCACTGGGTGAGATCAAGTTTCGCTAATCTACTTCTTATCCTGTGTAAAAAGGTTTCATAATCGGAAGATTATCTAAAACTTGACCTCACCTATTGTAAATGAAAGAGCAGTAGATAAATGGTGTGAATATTATATCATTGTCGAGTCTAATTTTTGCAATTTTTGTTTTCAAATTCAATTGTTTGAGTTACTGCTTCAATGAATAAATGTGACAACGGTTGACAATTAACTATTCTACTATTATCTACTATTAAAGTCATTTTAATAACATGATAGTTCTTTCAAGTGTAAATTTTATATTTTCATACAGTTTAATAGTTAAGTGTGTTTTAGTTTAAATTTTAATTAGATGTTAATTTTTAAAAATGTGTTCAAAGTGTGACGTACTTTTTTTTTTTGGGGGGGGGGGGGTAATGGTAAAAAAATAGCGTGGCGTACTTTATGGACCAACCCAAAAAGTATTGTCAATGGCCAACAAGTTAAAGTGGTGGGTTTTTTTCCGAATTTTTTTTTCAGGTACATATGTCCTATGGAATGAAACTCTTTAACGAGTTGCATGTATAACAACCACGTCTCAGAATGAACTTCGTTCTATGCACAATTCAAATTACAATTTTAAATAAAAATATTACATATAACTTTAAAAAAAAAATTGTTTAATAAATTGCTCGCTAAATATTTAATTTCACAAACGTTATTATTATTATTATTATTATTATTATTAATATTATTATTATTGTTGATGATAATATTATTTTTGTTTTTATTATAATTTATTTTTAATGTTATTTTCACTAGTTTTATTATAATTATTTTATTTACGATATTCATTAATAGTAGAATTATTATTATAACTTTCATTAAGATAATCTTCATTAATATTATTATTATTATTATTATTATTATTATTATTATCAGCATTAGACTTATTATTTGTTACTATTTTTTAGCAACAAAAAAAAAAGAAAGAATTATTATCATTTTCATGACCATTATCAATTGTAATGATAATATTCATATTGTTTAAGATAAGCTAAGATTCTTTTATTGATCCAAATAAATGGAAATGTTTTTTGATTGCACTATACATCTTCAACACATAAATAAAACAATTTTAAGACATTTATAATATATTATCTCTCACAGCCATTCAGTGAGTTCTCTTAGCCAAATCGGGGATTTATTAGTTCTCAGAGGGAGCACGCCGGTAAACTCGTATAGATTGGGGAATAAAAGAATTTTTATATCTTTCAGTCCTCGCCCTGATGGAAAAATTTCGTCCCGAGCGGCCCTATCCTAAGTATCTGTGATGAAGATGGAGGAATGTAGCATCCAAAATGTGTTTAGTTTTACAAAAACATCTTTCTTCAAATAGTTCTTCAAGTGAAGGATGTCTAGTTTGTGTTATGTTCCTAGCTTTCTTGATTAGTCGGTTTATATATATTAATAACCAAAATCATTTGTAATAAAGCATTAATTAGAAAAGTATATATTTTTTAAAGACTATCTTTTTGTATTATTAAACGCTAGTATTTCCATGTTTAGTGTCATTGGAATCTGACAATTATTTTTGAAGGTCCTATGAGTTTAACACGAACAGAAGCACATCTAGCAAAACAAGTACTGTATTGTGTGTTGATCTTGGAATATACTTTAAAAGGCTTCTGCGCAGTTTTAAACATTAACTTTAAAAAAAAAAAAAACACAAAATTATACATTGCTAAGAATAATTTATTCCGAAATTACAATGCTTTCAGACCGAAACAGAGTCCGCAAGTCAAGGGAAACAACTTCATTTTCAGTGTAGGGTAGCTCTATAGACTTGTTAAAATGCTGGTTGTTCTTACGGCCCTTGAAATTCGTGATGGAATTAATAGGATCCTGAAATGATAATCATGATAAAATTATTAATACGTTTCAATGCTATTTATTGTAAGCACAAATGCTAATATTTAACACGATTCATTCATTTGTGCGCCGAAGTCATTCCTTACCCAGGGGACATTTTCTCGGCATTATATGGAGCCACTAAATAGATATCACTAAACGGTTCTGGCAGATTCCTATGTGTGAAAATAACAAGTTTTTGGGAGGTTTTGTACTGCCTTTAGAATACCTGTGGGCCATTTTAAGTTTGGTTATGTACCATTTTTCCCTAAAAAAACAGTCCCTCTAACTTTACCAGATTTAATAGAGCACTTTTTAAGGATATCGACAATGTAATTTCCTATTTTGTTGACATGTATGTATTCACACTCACACTAGGGGGGAACATATAGAAACTTTTCATAAGGTTTTTATGAAACGAGAGGATCAGAATTTACCTCAAAACTTTACAAACCAGAACTTAGCGTCTCTAAAGTTACTTATTTAGGGCACAGTATGGGGAAAAAGGGGAGCAAGGACATGACTTAAATAATAATTTGAAAATCCTCCAATTGAGTACCCCTAGACGTAACGAAAAATGCCTAATATAGATATTTATTTTCAATACCGTACATTTATATTTTAAAAAAAACAACAAATTTTAGCTGTTTTTTTAAATGTATCTTGAGTTATTTCCTTTTATCTTTACCGAGAAACTCCTGTGACGTACGTGTACCATGCACTAAATAACTTACTGAGATGTGTCTCCAATACACCAAATAGATACTTGTTTTAACAACGTCATTTCCTATTAGGCGTTTTGTAACAGAACTCATTCATTAACGCAAGTTGTACGAAACTAAAAAGGTAATATGCTTATTGCAAAATTCTTGACATGTTAATAAAGTAGTAGATATTCTTTGATGTATAATAACGATATTTAAAACAACTGCAAGGTTTAATAAATTGAACATCACACACACACAAAACTTACCAGATTTGTAGTTGTTGTTGTTGTAGTTGTTGTTGTTGTAGTTGTTGTTAGCCTGGTAAGCATTATTTCTGCCGTAAGATGATCCTCTTCCGGAGCCGTACCTACTGCCGTATGACCTTGAGGAGTAGCTGCTGCCGTATGGGGCAGAGTTAGCGTAGTTGGATCCGTAGTTGTTGTTGTTGTTGTAGTTGTTGTTGTAGCCGCTGTTGTAGCCAGATGGGTTGAAGTAAAGACCATCGGTGTATTGGTCGTTGTTGTTGTTGGCGTAACGGGCATTGCTGTAAGCACCATTGTTGTAGTTGGAGTTGCCGTACTGGTTGTTGTTGTTGTATTGGTTGTTGTCGTCGTATTGGTTGTTGTTGTTGTATTGGTTGTTGTCGTCGTATTGGTTGTTGCTGTATTGGTTTTTGCCATTGTATTGGTTGTTGTTGTTGTACTGGTTGTTATCGTACTGGTTGTTACCGTACTGGTTGTTACCGTATTGGTTGTTGTCGTATTGGTTGTTGCCGTATTGGTTTTTGCCATTGTATTGGTTGTTGTTGTTGTACTGGTTGTTATCGTACTGGTTGTTACCGTACTGGTTGTTGTCGTACTGGTTGTTGTACTGGTTTTTGTTGTCGTACTGGTTGTTGTATTGGTTCTTGTTGTCGTAGCTGGTCACGGCGTACTGGTCAGCGGAGTTGTAAGCAGGTTTAGCATCTCCTTTGTAAGAGTCGTACTGTGTGGCTTTACCATCGTACTGTGTGGCTTTACCATCATACTGGGTGGCTTTTCCATCGTACTGTGTTGCTTTAGCATCGTACTGGGTGGCTTTAGCATCGTACTGGGTGGCTTTACCATCGTACTGGGGGGCTTTACCATCGTACTGGGTGGCTTTACCATCGTACTGTGTTGCCTTAGCATCGTACTGGGTGGCTTTAGCATCGTACTGGGTGGCTTTACCATCGTACTGTGTGGCTTTAGCATCGTACTGGCTGCTAGCATCCTTAGCTGCGTAGTCAGCACAGGTAGCGATGGCCAAGATGGCGAAACCGAGAATGACCTGGAGTGGAGACATTGTGACTTTGGGTAGCGTTCTGTTTCTGAAAAAGTTTTTGTGCAAAATTCATGTGGTCAATTTGTCATGAACATTTTAAAAAACATCTAAGTAATGTAATGATAAGCTATTGAACATTTCTTTTAATCGTCATAATTCGTGAGAAATCTTTTTTAACTTACTACAGTTCCTTTTCAAAATTAGGAAAATAATAATAGTTGGAGATTAATCATTATAAAGCAAATATTTTTAAAGATTTTCTTTCCCTGTAATTAGTTAACATTGTTTAGAGGTTATTTGCCACCAAATGGATCCAAGGGTGGAATGTTTTCATGTTTGTTTCATTATTTTACTCTTGCCTAACATCTACAAGATTCTTTCAAAATGTGTACGAGTCCTAGTTAAAACTTGACAGTTGCATTTTGCCCACACTATTTTGAACTGAACATCTTAGAATAAACACAAGTTTTAAGATTTTCTTAGATCCCATGCCCTTTTCCCACACGAAACTTATTAAGTTTTATTTGGTTTACTTACCGGTGCTGAAAGTGGAGACCGTGTAGACAAGTGACTTCAGCACAGCGCCCAAACACCTTATAAAGGAGACCACGTTCTCAGTCCGCGGTTTAAAGGATTACAGGTGATCAGTTTAAGAATTCATTGATTCATGGCTTTTGTTATCGCTGTCATCACCAAGTCATCTGTTTATGTAACATTTTTTTTTCTTTTTTTTTTTTTTTTGAAACCATCAGCGAAAAACTGAGTTTTTGTGAGTGGGAGACAATATTTTCATTTATAATCCATCAATCATCACTCTTACCCATTTGTCTCTGCTCTAATAGAAATATGTGAATAGAAAATGACGCTGTAACAAATTTTTTTTTCTTTAATTAATGCTTAACATATCTAGAAATAATAACGGATGATTATACAAGTAAATGCATTTGTTTTCTTCTGTAAAATATTCTCATTCATTTTGCACCAGGGCCTGGACGCGTGTGTTGGGAAATTTTAGTTTGACATTTCAGAGTGATTATAAATGTTCAAATTAAAGAAAATAAGATTATTCAATTAAATTTTCACTCTGAAGTACCGCCCGTTGAACTACGTATGTTTTAATCCAATACTTGGCTACCATCTCTTTGGCCAGCCTCATTTTTGCATTTGGTTTGCCACATAGATGAATTCTCTTATGTATACATATGCATATTTTGCTTCTGGTTCGTGTTGCTTACTTTTCACAACTAACCTCCCTATTCAACATGTTTTATATCAATAGTACGAAGTTTAAAAAAAAAAAAAAAGGCAGCGAGGTTTCATGAGTGACCTCTGAACTCCGATAAAACTTTTAATATTTTTTCTTAAAGCGGAGTCAACTCTTATATTAATTCAACAATGGGCCACCAGTATGGTTTAAGACCGTCTTTACGACTGACTGTCAGATTTTTGTTTAAAGGCCGGCAGGTAGGATGTAGAACAGTCCGTGGGCCTATTGTTAAAAGGCCAGCATATATTACAGAAAATGAGATGTTAACTTTCTTTTTGTTTGTTGAAACATTTGGATCCAAAGGGTATTTTGTCAAAATACCCGGACCCGACGTAAAAAAAAAACAACTGCTACCTGTTAAGCCCTAGTTTAAAATAATCATATTTTCAATTAGTATAAAAATCATGCAAGTAATATAATCCATCGCTTCATGCTTATATGTCCGACGGCTAATAACGCCCTTAGATATCATTTTGTCAAGATGCAACGGTCTGTGTTTCAATAAGGCCCTCGCTGGAAGGACTGAAAATTCAGCTTTGATATGTGGGGCTCGAAGCCCCTAATTTTTTGGGGGAACCGCTGCTCCTAATATTTGACTCTAAATCACTTCAAATGTCGGTGACAGATTTAGGTGGTTTCGTTCAGGTGTTGATCCTATCTCGGTACCTTTTGTAATAAAAAAAAAAAAAAAACTTTTTAACGGGGTATGGCTTGTTGTGTCAGGGGTTAAAGCGGCGATGTCTAAAATTCTCAGTGATTAATGTGTGGAAGGATGACAATGGTTAAATGTGGGATGGATAATTAAGTCAGCGGTTTAAGCTGTATCGGTTTTTATAAATAACAGTGGTTAAAATAAAGGCCACTAATGGTGTCGATGATTAAAGTGGTACTGGTTGATATAAATAGGCTAAACATATTGCTAATTGCTACTGTGGTTAAATGTATGATGGATAAAAAATATCAATGGTTTAAATGGTATGGGTTATAGAATAACTCTCGTTAAAATATAGCTCACTAATGGTGTCGGTGATTAAAGTGGTACTGGTTAATACAAATAGGCTAAACATATGGCTAATTGCTACTGTGGCTAAATTTATGATGGATAAAAAATATCAATGGTTTAAATTTTAATGTTAATAGAATAGCTCTGGTTAAAATATAGCTCACTAATGGTGTCGGTTATTTAAGTGGTATGTTTAAAATGTTTATCGCTAATCAGGGCCGGTCCGACGGCTGCTGGCGCCCTGTGCAAGCTTAACTTTGGCAGCCCTTATAATAAGTTTAATCATTAAAGGAAAAAAAAACTAGTCATTCGGTAATGAGTTTATCACCTATGTTTTTGTTTGTTATTTGTTTTTTTTTAAAAAAGCAACATAGGCAATAAATTCATTACCGATTACATAGTTGTTTTTTTTCCCTTTAATGATTATACTTATAAGGGGATCCACAGTTAAGCCTTGGGTAAACTTTCGCCCTGTGCGAAGCACCCGTACAGTGCCCTCTTCCCTGTACCTGTATCCGAAATAAGAAAGCAGCTTTCATTGTATGAAACCTCATTGTATGAAACCTTATTGTATGAAACCTCATTGTATGAAACCTTATTGTATGAAACATCATTGTATGAAACCTTATTGTATGAAACCTCATTGTATGAAACCTTATTGTATGAAACCTCATTGTATGAAACCTCATGGCATGAAAACTCATTGTATGAAACCTCATTGTATGAAACCTCATGGCATGAAACTCATTGTATGAAACCTCATTGTAAGAAAACTCATTGTATGAAACCTCATTGTATGAAACCTCATTGTATGAAAACTCATTGTATGAAACCTCATGGCATGAAACTCATTGTATGAAACCTCATTGTATGAAAACTCATTGTATGAAACCTCATGGTATGAAACCTCATTGTATGAAACCTCATGGCATGAAAACTCATTGTATGAAACCTCATTGTATGAAACCTCATTGTATGAAACATCATTGTATGAAACCTCATTGTAAAGAACCTCATTGTATGAAACCTTATTGTATGAAACCTCATTGTATGAAACCTCATTGTATGAAACCTTATTGTATGAAACCTTATTGTATGAAACCTCATTGTATGAAACCTTATTGTATGCAACCTCATTGTGTGAAACCTCATTGTATGAAACCTTATTGTAAGAAACCTCATTGTATGAAACCTTATTGTATGAAATCACATTGTATTAAACCTCATTGTATGAAACCTCATTGTATGAAACCTCATTGTATGAAACCTTATTGTATAAAACCTCAATGTATGAAACCTCATGGCATGAAAACTCATTGTATGAAACCTCATTGTATGAAACCTCATGGCATGAAAACTCATTGTATGAAACCTCATTGTATGAAAACTCATTGTATGAAACCTCATTGTATGAAACCTCATTGTATGAAAACTCATTGTATGAAACCTCATGGTATGAAACCTCATTGTATGAAACCTCATGGCATGAAAACTCATTGTATGAAACTTCATTGTATGAAACCTCATTGTATGAAACCTTATTGTATGAAACCTCATTGTATGAAACCTCATTGTATGAAACCTTATTGTATGAAACCTTATTGTATGAAACCTCATTGTATGAAACCTCATTGTATGAAACCTTATTGTATGAAACCTTATTGTATGAAACCTCATTGTATGAAACCTTATTGTATGAAACCTAATTGTATGAAACCTCATTGTATGAAACCTTATTGAATGAAACCTCATTGTATGAAACCTTATTGTATGAAACCTCATTGTATGAAACCTCATTGTATGAAACCTCATTGTATGAAAAATCATTGTATGAAACCTCATGGTATGAAACCTCATTGTATGAAACCTCATGGCATGAAAACTCATTGTATGAAACCTCATTGTATGAAACCTCATTGTATGAAACCTTATTGTATGAAACCTCATTGTATGAAACCTCATTGTATGAAACCTTATTGTATGAA